AATAATAATAATAATAATACTTGACTGAGCACAGTGGATCACACTAGTAATCTCAGCACTTTGGGAGGTGAGGTGGTCAGATCACTTGCACCAGGAGTTCGAGAACAGCCTGGGCAACATAGTGAGACTCTGTCTCTGCAAAAATAAAAAATTAACTGGTGTAGTGGTACGTGCCTGTAGTCCCAGCCACTGGGGAGGCAGAGGTGGGAGGATCACTTGAAACCAGGAGGTGGATGGTGCAATAAACTGTGAGTGTACCACTGCGTTCCAACTTGGGTGACAGAGAGAGACCTTGTCTCAGAAAACTTTAAAAAGACTAATCCTTATGTTTTTGAGGCTGTGGGCCATTTGCTCTGCTGTAGTGGGTGTAGAGTCTTCACATTCTTAGTATGAGAATAAATTGCTAAAACTTTCTGGCAGGCAATCTAGGATTTGTTTCCAAAGTTAAATGTGGATAATTAAAAATAATTTTACGCATGCCTGTAATCCCACCACTTTCAGAGGCTGAGGCGGACAGATTGCCTGAGCTCAGGAGTTCAAGACCAGCGTGGGCAACATGGTGAGATCCTGTCTGTACTAAAAATACAAAAAATTAGCTGGGCATGGTGGCATGTACCTGTAGTCCCAGCTACTCAGGAGGTTGGGGTAGGAGAGTCGCTTGAACCCAGGAGGCGCAGTCAGTAGTGAACCAAGATCCACTTTGCTCCAACCTGGACAATAGAGCGAGATTGTGTCTCCAATAATAAAAAAATAATAATAATTTAAACCAACATTCTAGGGATTTTCCCTAAGGAACTAATCAGAATGCATACAGATTTGTGTACAAGATGTTGAGTTGAAATATTGTTTTTGACCTGAATGTCTAGGAGTGGGTGGGGAAACCTGATCCCCAGTCCCTCCTCTCCTCCTGGCCCAACCCCAATTCATCTCCTGTCTTTCCCAAATAGAGCTTGAATAGGGCCGTTGGTGGCCGGAATCCAGGGCAGGGTGTTGGTTGGGGGAAGGTGGTGGTTGGAATCAGCTGGGGTTGGGTACTAGACTTAGTTCCTCTGTGGGCAAATGAGAGCCTAGGGATTGTGGGGAAGAGGCCTAGGGTGAAAATGAAAATCCCTTAATTTCAGGAGCAGTGTTGGCCTTGGAGAGTCATGGGACTTCAGAGAGGAAGGACAGAAGCTGACTATGTAGATGGTAGCTTGTTGCTCTCCCTGGGACAGAGGAGCCTGCTTGCCTCCCTGTCTCCAAGCCTGAAAGAGGGTTGTGCAGCTGAGGATACAGGAATTGAGGATACAGGCAAGTGCCACTGCCTGGCAGCTTGGTATGTGGCTAGACTACAGGAGCCTACTGGTTCCCCCCCACTGGGAGTACCTTTAGGTGTCTTTGTGCTGGACCCATGACCAGAGGGTGAAAGGAGGCATGAGTAGATAGGCAAGAGAAAAGCAGTAATACTCTTGCAGAGACCTTAGAGCCAGAGAGAGAAGGAACAGACAACTCTCATAAATAGGAGGCTCTGGTGAAACAGACCTTCAGTGGAAAATTCAGTTATAGCAAAACTTTCTGGAACCAAAAAGATTTTTAAAAAGTAAAAAACCTCAGAAGTTTAGTAGATAAACCGAGGAAGAGAATGGTCAGCATAAACTTAGTAGCCTGTTAGATCAAGTGGAAGAAACACTCAAACATAGCAAAGAGAGGGAGGAACCAGGAAAGCAAAGACGTGAGGTCCCAAGTCCTGAGGGTGATGGTGATCCACCCATTCCTGAACCAATCCCTGGAACCAGCAGATGCCCCTCTGCTTAACTTGCTTAGGCAGGGGTCTTCTGAACTCATCACTGAGCCAAGGGAGAATGGGATGACTTTAATGGGTTAGACCAGTTAGGGAACACACTGGAACAGGGAGTAGAGTCCATCCCACAAGCACAGAAAGAAAGGGTGGGTTTTTTTTAGTGTACAAATAACCTTGAAGATCTGTTACAGTAACACATGGCACCTGACCGAATGAACTGTTGTGAAGACAAAGGAGATCTTCTGTAACATGCTTAACACAATGCCTCACACATAAGCAGTGAAGAAATAGTTACTATTTTCTCATTTGTGTTTTTAAAAGAGTATTTATTTTTCTTTTTTTGAGACAAGAGTGTCCCTCTGTTGCCCAGGCTGGAGTGCAGTGGTGCCATCTTGGCTGGTCGCAACCTCAGCTTCCCAGATTCAAGCCATTCTCATGTCTCAGCCTCCCAAAATTGCTGGGATTACAGGCATGCTTCACCATGCCCAGCTAATTTTTTTTATTTTCATTTTTTTTTGCATTTTTAGTAGAGATGGGGTTTCACCATGTTGGCCAGGCTGGTCAGTTCAAGACCAGCCTCAAAGTGATCTCAAAGTGATCTGCCCGCCTCAGCCTTCCAAAGTGCTGAGATTACAGGCATTGAGCCACCTAGTTTGAAGGAGTGTACATGCCCTTCTGTTTGTCAGTTCATCTTAATGATGCTATATATAGAACCCTGGAAACAATAGAATGTTGTTACTCTTTTGTTACTTAGGGGTTGTTTTTCAGACTCTACTGTGCTTGTTATTCACAGGGGGTCTTGTTGAATGCAGATCCTGAATTAAATGTTCATTTTGAATTAAATGCCCTCTGACTCAGTCTGGCTGAGGCCTGACATTCTGCATTTTTAGCAGTCTCCCAACTGGTGCCCATGCTCCTGGATGGCAGACTACACTGAGTAGCAAGCACCTAAGCTTTGCCTTTCCTTATGATTGATGGTGCTCACCACTGCATCCATCTTCTAGCCAGTGGGAAAGGGGAGAGGAAGTACAGAGCAAGTAATTTTTTTTTTTTTTTTTTTTGGAGATGGAGTTTCGCTCTTGTTACCCAGGCTGGAGTGCAATGGCACAATCTCGGCTCACCGCAACCTCCACCTCCTGGGTTCAGGCAATGCTCCTGCCTCAACCTCCTGAGTAGCTGGGATTACAGGCATCCACCACCATGCCCAGCTAATTTTTTCTATTTTTAGTAGAGACGGGGTTTCACCATGTTGACCAGGATGGTCTCGATCTCTTGACCTTGTGATCCACCCGCCTCGGCCTCCCAAAGTGCTGGGATTACAAGCGTGAGCCACCGCGCCCGGCCCTGCAAGTAATTTTTTTAAACCCCACATTTTTATTTTGAAAATTTCAAACCTCCTGAATATTTGAAAGAATAATGAGGCTGGGTGCGGTGGCGCATACCTGTAATCCCAGCACTGCGGGATGCTGAGGCAGGTGGATCACAAGGTCAGGAATTCAAAACCAGTCTGGCCAACATGGTGAAACCCTGTCTCTACTAAAAATACAAAAATTAGCTGGGCATGGTGGCGAGTGCCTGTAATTCGAGCTACTTGGGAGGGTGAGGCAGAGAACTGCTTGAACCCAGGAGACAGAGGTTAGAGTGAGCCAAGATCACACCACTGCACACTCCAGCCTGGGCAACAGTGAGACTCCGTCTCAAAATAAATAAATAAAAATAATGCAGTGGATATCTGCGTACTCTTCACATAGCTTCACCAATTGTTAACAATTTAGCAATTTTCTTTTAAGCACATGACAGAGAAGTTGCCAACATCCTGCTCACTCTTGTCCACTGGTGAAAACTCTGGCACATAGCCTGATCCTGCTGCAGGAGAGGCTGAGAAATAAAAGCCTAGCTTGAGAGTGATCTGCCTGCTGAAAGGGGTGGGATTCTGTTATTTGTAGAAGATATGATAAAGCAGTTATTTTCTTAAAGGAGAAAATGGGGGAATTGGACAGTGGGTACTAGTGGACAATTGCTCTCTGACATACAGACTCTAATCTCCCCACTCTGCAGACTGAATTTCACTCTTTTTGCCCAGGCTGGAGTGCAGTGGCTCAATCTCCGCTCACTGCAACCTCCACCTCCCAGGTGCAAGGATTCTCCCGCTTCAGCCTCTGGAGTAACTGGGATTATGGGCGCATGCCACCATGCCCAGCTTTTTTGTATTTTTAGTAGAGATGGAGTTTCATCATGTTGGCCAGGCTGGTTTCAAACTCCCGACCTCAGGTGATCCACCCGCGTCGGCCTCCCAAAGTGCTGGGATTAACAGGCGTGAGCCACCGAGCCCAGCCAAGACTCCAATCTTACAACTAGTTCTCTTCAAATTCTATTCTGGAAAGCTCAGAATTGAAATGTAGAGCCCAGGTTGGGTGTGGTGGCTCAGGGCAGTAATCCCGGCATTTTAGGAGGCCCAGGTGGGCAGCTCAGTTGAGGCCAGGGGTTGAAGAGCAGCCTGGGCAACATAATGACATTCTCATCTGTACAAAAAAAAAAAGTATTTTAATTAGCCAGGCATGGTGGTTCACACCTGTAGTCTCAGCTAGTTGGGAGAATGAGGCAGGAGAATTGCTTGAGGCCAGGAGTTCGAGGTTGCCTTAGCTGAGACTGTGCCATTGCACTCCAGCCTGGGAGACAGAGCAGGACCCTGTTAGATCTTGCATTATAGAATCTCTGCAACGGGAGGACAGCTGAAGTTGCCTGCTTTACGCAGGGAATGCCGTAAACTGCCTTTCTGCCAGAATCGGACCCCGCCGTCAGCTGAGATGCCAGTGCCGTCGCGGGGTGGTGCTGTCCGCTAGCCCGGGTGGTCGGCTGGGAGCCAGCCTCGTGCCGCTGCTTTCAGTTGTCTGCCAGGCCCGGCGCTGCATGCCCTCACGAGCTTCGAGTGCGCCTGCCAGGGTGTGTGCGGGGGCCGCTCGGCAGAGCCGCAGGACTCTCGCCCGGAAGCTCGCCACCAGCGTCCGCATACGCTAGGTTAGGGAGCCTAGGGGTCTGGCCGGCCACGTCTCGGCGAACCCCCCGGAGCGCAGGACACGGAAGAAACCCGCCCTCTCCACCGGCCCTCGCCATTGCCCTGCAGACAAGATCCCCCGGCTGGCTTCGCACGGGGCCTGCCCGCTCCCAAGATGGCGGCGGTGGCGGCCTCAGTGGGGCGGGGCGACGGGGGGCGGTGGCCAATGGGCTTCCGGGCTGCGCCGCCGGCCGGGAGCGGGAGGCGGAAGTGCCGCGGGCCGCCGCCTCCGTCCCGGCTGCGGCCCCTGCCGGTTACATAACTCGTTGCGGGCTCCTCGCGGCCCCACTTCCTGGCTCCCTGCGCTTCCAGGATGCGCTGAGCCCTACGACACCCTCAGCGGCCGCCGGCTCCCCCACGAGGTGAGGCGGCGCGGGGCGGCCGCCGGTGCTAGGACCTGTAGCTGGGTCGCCGAAGGGGCGGGGTGGGCGGGGAGGCCGCGCCGGGGTTAGAGGGGTTGGCGCCCCCCGCCGGGAACCAGTGCACCCGCGAGGCAGGCCTGGCCGGCGCGCGGCCCTCCCGGGAGCAGGTTTCGGGTGCGGCGGCGGGGAGTGGGTGCTGGTCGGGTACGGGGGTGAGGAGGTCATGGCTCTCAGGGCTGGGTGGGAGTCGGGCCTTCTACCTGAGCGTTGCGTCCGTGCCCGACCCCGAGACGAGTGGTCGGGACAATTTGCAACTAGAGGGTGGTCCTCATGAGTACTTGTGGGGTCTCGCGCTGGGTGAAGGGTCCGGCCTTTTAGTCGAGTCAGCGATTTGCGCCTTCGCCCGGCTCTCGCCTGGCCTGGTCCTGGCCTGTTTTGGTACTTGTTGCACTGATTGGAGTTACTTTCGACTTGTTTGGCCTTCTGTGAACGCATGAAAGCCGGGGGCTGCGTCTAGGTCTCCCCGAGTCGTACTCTCCCAGCTTTCGGTGTTAAGACAAATTCATTCCTAAAGTTTCTGGCCATTTGTAGACCTACCATACAGACCCCACACCCCCAACTACGACTTTCTTCTCCAGATTGGGTACTTCACAGGGAGTACAGGGAATCTGTAGCTTTCTGTGGTTTGTCTTGCCGGGAAAATCTGGGGGGAAGCTGTGGGCCTTCTCTGGACGACCACTCACAAATCTGCCCAGGTGGAGACTGGACCCAAGGTCTGGACATCAGGCAAGTGGTACGCTGCAGTAAATGTGGACATTGGCCATTTCGTGGGTCTGTTTTCCTCTATCAAGTGCTTGAGCTGAACACTTTTGTGTCACTCATTTGTCTTAAAAGGTTAACAGCCCAACAGAGTAGTTCGCTTTGGTATCTGGAGCGGTAGTCAGAGGTGTCAGAACTGGAGAGAACATTGCTGTTTACACATGTTTTCCTTTTACCAGGGCACTGAAGGCATAAAACTCTTAGTCAGTGCTTAACTGAGTGAGCCATGAAAGTCACGTGACTCCAAAGGTCGGCTCTGGAAATGTAGCAGTCTTTGTAGCACTGTGATGTGGAAATACTATGATGTACGGGGTCAGTGTTCAGAGGCAGGGAAGGGGGAATCTTTAACATTTTTGAATTAAAAAGGATCTGGAGCAAAAACAAATCAATACACACATATCAGTGAACTCTTTTAAGCTCAGTTAGAGAAGAGATTAAAGACCAGAAGAAACTCGAGGGAGACTGCAGTGTAAGTCCCAGAACCTTCCATACAGGCAGGTTCATCACAGCACTTAAGGCTGGTCTTCATCTCCCTCCTTGTAGGATTTTCTACATTCATGTGTAGATCTGCCCTTGGAGAATGAGGCATGGGTAGTTGGGCTGTGGTTTGCTGGAGTTGCATCTCACTGAGCTTGCCGACACGCTGGGTTTCTGTGACAGTGGTTTAAACTGCGAGTAGCAAAGTCAAGGAATGGTCTGGTGTCAGCATGCCAGAATAAAACACAGATAACTTTTTGAAAGGTCTGTATATGTCCTGGCTTTAGCCTCTCCCGGTTGTAACTTGAAGTGACTTTGTCAGTGTGTGTTTTTGACCAGGCCCACTCTGGGTATGGAGGGTATCTTTAGATGTGACTTGTCTGGGTTGCTTAGCAACGGCACACTTCTGACTAGAATGGAAGAAAGTTCCTGGGTGTGAGGAGATTTGAGGGATAAAAGATAGTACACCTTAAAGGAGACCAGCAGGGTTCATTCCGTGTCATTGCTAGTGGTGCTGGGGACTGGAGACTGTTGTGTACCTGTTAGCAGTGGCAGTTAGACCAGGTGGATACAGAATCTAGAATGGTCACATTGCAGCCACCGGCTGGCAGAGGCATAGAAGAGTCTTCAGCCCTCTGAGTTAGGGCAGTACATGACTTTGCTCTGCTGAAATAGCTCAGAGGTCCCATTTGCTTGGTGACAACTGTCACCTGAGTAGAAAGCCGGCTGCTTATCAGACACTGTTTCCTTAAATGGCGGCTCCTTCACATCTGTGTCATCTCCATTCTCTCCCCTATCCATCTCTTTCTGGAAGGAATCCACAAAACCCTCATAGCTTTTTTTTTTTTTTTTTTTTTTTTTTTTTTAGTAGGGTCTCACTCTTGTCACCCAGGCTGGAATGCAGTGGTGCAATCTCGGTTTACTGCAACCTCTGCCTCCTGAGTTCAAGTGATTCTCCTGCCTCAGTCTCCTGAGTAGCTGGGACTGCAGTCACATGCCACCAGGGCCAGCTAATTGTTTTTGTATTTTTGGTGGAGACGGGGTTTTGCCTTGTTGGCCAGGCTGGTCTTGAATTCCTGACCCCAAGTGATCTGCCACCTCAGCCTCCCAAAGTTCTGGGATTACAGGTGTGAGCCACCGCACCCAGCCTGCCCTCATAGCTTGTACACATCTTTTCTGGTTTGCAGAAACCAAAGCTGGGGTGTGGACCCTGCTTCAAAGCTGGTTCTGCTTGTGTTTGTGTAAAGTGCTTTCAAGTAAAATGCTGATCTGCAGAAAGACGCTGGAAGTTCTGGGTCTCTTTCTGGCTAAGTTCAAATGCCAAATTTGATTCAGCAAATAGTTATAAGTGCCTTGAAGTGCAAAGAATGATCCAGGGTCAGGCCTCCTTCCCTACATACAACTCTTTTGTTGTGTATGTTTGTATGTATATATGTATGTTTGTTTGTTTAGAGACAGGGTCTTGCTATATTGCCCAGGCTGGTCTCAAACGCATGGCCTTAAGCCATCCTCCAACCTCAACCTCCTGAGTTGTTGGTGTTACAAGAGTGAGCCAGTTTGCCAGGCTCTGTATCATTCTTTTTAGCATAACCTCTGATAGGAGGCTGGCAGGACAGTTCAGGGCTTATCTAAAGCCCAAATGCTTTACACCGCTGATTAAAGAGAGACCTATGTTTGAAAACCAATCGGGCATATAATAGGATTAACATTCTGCTACCAACCCTAAGGCATTTGTGTAGTGCTTGTGGGAATGATAGAAAGGGGGTCTGAACTTTGGGAGCCAGGGGTTTCTGCAGGAAGCAGTTTGGGGTCCTTGTTTGCAGTGAGTGGTGCTTAATGGAGCCAGAGTGCCCCACTGTGGATGTGAGCGGAGAGGTGCTAGTCACCCCAAGATGGCCACAGTTCTAAACTGAGACATCAGGTAGAGAGGAAGCAAGTAAAGGCCACTCCCTAGTCCCACCTTGTCAACAACTCAGACGGGATTCCCCATCTCTTTCTCAGCCAGGGGCTGGTGGCTAGAAGGGGCCAGACATTCTGAGAAGCCATTTTGAGAACTGGCTATGAGTGCAACAGCTTAGAGATGTTCCAATGTCTCTTCAAGTTACAAGTGAAATTTTTTTTTTTTTTTTGAGACGGAGTTTTTTGCTCTTGTTACCCAGGCTGGAGTGCAATGGCGCGATCTTGGCTCACCGCAACCTCGGCCTCCTGGGTTCAGGCAATTCTCCTGCCTCGGCCTCCTGAGTAGCTGGGATTACAGGCACGCGCCACCATGCCCAGCTAATGTTTTGTATTTTTAGTAGAGACGGGGTTTCACCATGTTGACTGGGATGGTCTCGATCTCTTGACCTTGTGATCCGCCCGCCTCGGCCTCCCAAAGTGCTGGGATTACAGGCTTGAGCCACCACGCCTGGCCATGAGTGAAATTATTATCCATTTTGCCCTAAAATGGACTCTTAAACCCCCATACACTTGGAATAGCATGTATTTTGTGCATTGAAGCCAGAAATAAACATTCTAAACACAGATTTAAAGTTGCAATGAAGAGGAGGTGGCTGTGGACAGACATGCAAAACAAATGTCTGAGAAAGTCTTAGTTCTCTTTGCTTCCACAAAAAGACCAAAGAAAGATGTTTTCTAATCTCTAACAAACCATGTTAAAAATAGTCTTGGCCAGGCACAGTGGCTCAGCACTTTGGGAGGCCAAGGTGGGTGGATCACTAGAGGTCACAAGTTCGAGAGCAGCCTGGGCAACATAGCAAAACCCAATCTCTACAAAAGGTAGAGAAATTAACCAGGCCTGATGGTGGGCACCTGTAGTACCAGCTACTTGGGAAGCTGAGGTGGGACAATGGCTTAAGCAGGGGAGGTGGAGGTTGTAATGAGTTGAGATCATGCCGCTGCACTCCAGGCTGGGTGATAGAGCCAGACCTTGTCTCAAAAAAAAAAAAAAAAACCTTTCAGTGCTATTTTTTGTTGTGTAGTTAGTGTTACTAAAAAGCAAATGGTATTTCTCTCTTTTTGTTTACTGTATTCCTGAAATAGGATCGATTTGGCCAGCAGAGTATTGATATTGGGGCCCATCTTGAAAATAACTACTGAAAAAAGTAATTTCCTTTTATAAAATAAGGGTAATTTTCCCTTAGGTACCGAAAAGGATTCTTTTATGGAAAATGTTAATGCAGCAATATTTCCCTCATTCCCTTGGCGTTCATGCGAGTGCTGCTGGATGCTTTTCCAAACTTGTTTCTTTCTGGAAGATGGCTCATTCTGACTCCTGTTGTAAACTGTTAAGAGATTATTCTTTCCAGAATCTGTTACAGTCAGAATGCCTTGTTTGTCTGTCATTTGCTGCACTTTTCTTTATAGATTCAGATTACTTTGCATCTCCTCTGGCCTCCCATTTTTAACCTTTTCATTGACATATACACACAGAAAAACACACTGCTTGACAAGTTGACATGATGTGAACATAACTTGTACACCCCCAACCCCAGAAGACCCATGGGCCCCTTACCAGGCAAGCCCTCTCCCATTAAGAAAAACATTTTTCAGCCAGGCGCGGTGGCTCAAGCCTGTAATCCCAGCACTTTGGGAGGCCGAGGCGGGTGGATCACGAGGTCTAGAGATCGAGACCATCCCGGTCAACATGGTGAAACCCTGTCTCTACTAAAAATACAAAAAATTAGCTGGGCATGGTGGTACGT